AGAGACAGAGTAGATTAGAGGTTACCAGGGGTTAAAAAGGCGGAGAATGGGAAGTTATTGCTTACTGGGTACAGTTTTCTGTCAGAGACCACAATAAAATTTAGGAACTAGATAATGGTGAAGGTTGAACAACATGGTGAAGGTAATTAAGGTCGCTGAATTGCACACTTAAAAAATGGTTACCACTAAAAAAAAAGTTAATTGCCATTAAACCAATTCCAACTCATGGCAAACAGCTATAGTAAAATTCATTCTCCATTTCTCGAAAAAATAGGAATAATCTCTAGATTTACATTACAGTTTTATCCCCTCAGTCTTTGTAACAACCCCTCCAACCTCTGGAACTCTTTCTACTGTTCTGGCTATTTTCCGTAACTTTAACATCAACAGAAGCAAACTATTAAATAGCACTCTGTGTTTGACCTACTACAAGCACTATCCTAAGTCATTTATTCACCTAACTTGCTCTGCAAGGTAGGAATTATTATTATCTCTATTAGACCCATGGGAACGTTAGGCATAAAGATATTAAATAGTTTGCCCAAAGTGACAAAGTTAGTAAGTGACTAGACCAGAAATTGAATCCTGGCAGCTTCGCTCTAGAGCCCTTAGAGTAATCTCTATGCTATGGTACCTCTCACTTGTGGTTACACCATCACAAAACTTCTGTAAATCCCTTTCCACACTATTTTATCCTCTCAAGATCAAGATTTATCCCCCAAATTATCAGAAGGGCATGTTTAGCTGGAAAGCCTAATAAGACCTTCCAACTCAAAGCCCTGAAACGGACTTTCGCTAACTTCTCCCTGTTTCTATTTTGTTCATATGCAATAAAATTGATTACATTGCATAATATAAGCTCCTTAGAGGAAGATCATTTGTGTTTTTTAATGGCTAGTACAAAATCTTGTTGTTTGTTAGTATCCATTAAATATTCAATAAATGTCTAATGAATAGATTTGAATTTCCTCAAAAATAACATAACAGAGAAAAAAATTCTAGAGCTTCCATCTCTTATATCCCAGAATTACTATATGCAGTATTTTCAAATTAGTTGTTTTGTCAAGTTTAACCAACTTTAGGTATGTTCAGCTTATGGCTGTCAAGTGCAAATATGACTCCTAACTATTAATGCTTTGTTAAAAAATTCAATCAATAGTAGTATCACCTTTCTGTATTCACAAGATATACAATCCCAGAATAATTTATACGAAACTAAAATATATGGTATTCCTGTAACATTTTGTTGTTTTCATGATGGCTACCAGTAACTATTGCCATAAAAATAAATTTTATATATCATGAAAAACAACTGTCCTCTCTTTACTCAAATTAACTCATGAAAGAAAATGTAGATAGTATCATAAACAAGTTGCTTTGATGACATCTGAAAATCATCCATCATCACTGGAAACTAGCATTTCTTCCCTCTTCTTAATCTATTACTCTAATTCAGTTAATGTAGTCCACATGAGCCATCAGTGTTAAAATTCATGTCTATATATGCTAAAAATCAAGTCTCGTTCCTTATGAATTTAAAACATTCTTGTTGTACAAAATTTGGAAAGCAGAGAAAAGTATGAACTAAAAATAAAAATCACTTCTGTTTCTTATTAACATTTTCCTATACCATCAAACATTAAAAAAGATTACATTTAATAGCTAAATAATATTCTATGATATTGCAGCACTATAATTTAACCAATCATTTCCCTAAGCTAGTTCCATGTTTTTAACAATTACAAATTATACCACAGTGACCATTCCTAAAAACAAATCTTTCCAATTTTGAATTTCTTTATGACTTAAAGTCAAAGCAAGACCATTTTTTAACTTTCATCAAACGAGAAAGATTAAGTCATTTTATTTCTTATCAGAATTATATGATAACTCCTGAAAACTAGACTTTCTATAAATGCAGTATAAAGTTCGGATATTCTTGTTAAAGCATCAGAATTTTATTTGTAACTTATTTTTGTATAACTCACTTCTCGATATAGTGAAATTTCAACAAATCCTGTATGTGTCTTCACAAAACATTTCAACTTTATACTTTCTCCAAAAAAAAAAAAAAATTTTACAAAGAGGTCTCCCATCTCAGCTTTTCTTTTTTCCCTCCCCGGCTCCTGTGTACTCCCTCTCTTACTATACACCCAACATTACCGTCTATGTGCCTCCTTTTCCACATGTGAATCAACAGTTCCCTTTGGCTTAAGAACCAATTCTAAGGGAATATGCAAATAGGTACTCCAAAGGGAAACAAATTTTATAATTATTTCAAATAATTCATTTTATTTCATCCAATTTGGTTCATGGACTATAACCACTCTTACGGTGTATATAATTTTCCATAAGTTTATCATTTAGCAATCCTTATTCCTTCATCTAAGTATTTCTCCTTAAGGGGAGAGAGAATTACACACAAAGATGCCTATGGGGTTAAAGCAAAGGATGATGACAAAAACACTTTATAGTGCTTTCATGTTTTTTCAGAGCCATTAAGTTAAATTTAACTTAAATCCTGATAAGATTGAGGATGAAAGAGGAGAAACACTGGCTCTATACCATTATTTTCTATCTATTTAAAAATAAATGCTATAAAGCAGCATAAAAATACTCTTAGATAGTTAACATGGGTAAAGGAAGAGATAAAAGAGAACAAGTGTATATACAATACTCCCCAAGCCACCCTATTTTTCTTCCTCAGAAAAGAAGAAATAGTCTAAAGAGTCAACCAAAGCAGTACTAGTCACATGCTTTTCTAAAGTGACTAAAGAAATCCTACTCACCAAACCCAAGGCCCTGTCTCAATTCTTATCCTTCTAGACCTTAGCACTGACCAATATTCAAAGGGAGCTGGACACTGCATTTGAAATTTTTATAAAGAATATTTCCATTTGTTATCTTTAACAACGTATTTATATGGCTACTTCTGACTTTGGCTTTTCTTCATTTTAACTCATGGGCATTTCACAAAAATCTCCCACTTCTATCCTTAAGAACATTAAACTTCCAGGACCCCCAACTTTTTTAAAACAAACTTTTAGTTCCTCCTAACTATTTTACCTTTTATAAATACTTCAGATTCTTAATAAATAAGTAACCAAACTGAGAATTATAGTTCAATCTATCATTCATTTTTCTGGGTCTCAATTACTGTTTATAGTTTTTCAGGGTAGAGGGCTACCATAGGTTGATACATTGCAACAGTAAGATATTTATTTATACAAGAGGCAATAGTTATAGTGGTTTATAAATGGGTTCTAAAATGAAAACATCTGAATTCAGGTCTCAGTTCTACTTCTAGCTACATGATCTTGAACAAATTATTATGTCTTCTCTTGTTTCATCTATAAAATGAAGATAGTAATAGTCACCTATAAATGAGTTAAATAGATGTAAAGAACTTAGAAGGAGCTCTGGTAGCCTAGTGCCTAAGGCACTTGACTGCTAACCAGAAGGCTGGTGGTTCAAACCCACCAGCCACTCCTTGGAAGGAAGATGGGGCAATCTACTTCTGTAGTGATACCCAAGGAGGGGTTGCTATGAGTCGGGTCCAACTAGATAGCACATAACAACCACAACAACAACAAAGAACTTAGAATAGAGTTTGTGATGATTGCTACAAAGTGTGCTAAAATGGTTTAAACTAATATATTACGATTTTAAAAAAAATTTCAAATTGAGCAATAATTCACTTTGTAATTCATAAATTCACTGTAAAAGTCACCCTTTTAAAATGTGTATTTCTGTGGTTTTTAGTATATTCACAATAATATGCAACCATTTCTACTAACTCACTCCAAAACCATTCCATCAACTCCCAAAAAAACCCCTGAACCCATCAGCACTCACTTCTCACTCCCCTCTCTCTAACCTCCTCTCCAAGTCCATGGCAACCACTGATCTACTTTCTGTCTCTGTAGATTTGCCTATTTTGAATATCTCACATAAACAGAATCATACTATGTGGCCTTTTCAGTCTGTTTCTTTCACTTACCATATGCTTTCAAGATTCATCCATGTTGTAGCATGTATCAGTATTTCATTCCTTTTTATGGCTGAATAATATTCCACTGTATGGATATACCACATTTGTTTATCCATTCATCAGTTGATGGACATTGGGTTGTCTTCATTTTTTAGCTATTATGAATAATGCTGCTATGAACATTCATGTACAAGTTTTTGTGTGAACACATATTTTCAGTTCTCTTGGAGAAAATAATTAGGAGTGGAACTGCTGGATCATATAGTAGGCAACACTATGTGTCACTTTTGAGGAACTGCCAAACTGTTTGCCAAATGCGACTATCTGTTTAAAAATGAATTCTATTTAAATAAGTAAACCTTATCTTCGTGCTACTGCTTTTAGATGTCATTATTATAATGGAATTATAATATTTTACTAGACACTGGCTTTGGATCACAATTTCTCTGATTAATTCAACAAAAAAGTCTGTCCCTGTTATAGAAAATGAGCTTTAAGGTGAGATATCATTTATCACTAAACATCTTATTCAAAACACTTGTTTTAAAGCCTACAAAGAAAATAAAGGTTTTACTAATGAAAACAGAGCTTTGGTCTATTTATATACTTACATAAAATAGGCCTTTCCAAAGTTTATAAAAATATTTTACTTTGACAACATTCAATCTCTTATAGAGATTAAGCTAAATTTGGGTAATGTGTGACATAAAAGACATGAATGATTTTCATGATAAAAGTGCTCATTCCCCAAAATAAAAGAAAATGGTCAACAAATATTAAACCTACCCTAACTTCTACAACAACACACACACACAAAAAACTTCATCAAGAAAAAGTCAATAACAATGCACTTAATATAAAAATGCCTGAACCTTATTAATATAAAAAGCAAAATAAAGACAATTGTTTTTACCTTTTCATGTGTAATACTGGCCAAACAGAAATGTCTGTTCACTGTAAAGAATGTATATGAAACACCTTTAGAGATCTTCAAAGTCACATCACTCACCTATGTAGACTCTTTTGCTGTATCTCTGCATCAGTAACAACACAAATACATGCAGAGGGATAAGGTTGATGATAAACACATAACCACCCCAAGCAGAAACCTATGAGGAAAGAAACATTAAGTGAAACAGTTTGTATTTTACTTTTTAAAATACTAAAGTTTTACTTGTTATGACAAACAATGTAAGGAGCAAATACAAAACACTAACATTTTTAGCAATTTTGAGAAATGTTTATATATGAACTTTAGGAAACGTCTTAACAGCCTATTTCTTCTGATTTTTATGGACAATTAACTGAGACATAGCACATGATCTTATAAATCCAATGTTTTCCTATAAACGGAGAAATTTTCAAATTAGAGTAGGTTTGATAAAAGTTGAAAATATTATAATTTATGAGTTGGCAAGCAAAAAGACTGTCATGAAGAAAAAGTTTTAGGCTATAGATCATAACTTTTTTTTTTAAAGAAAAAAATAGTTTTTAATTCAACCTACTTTTGATGATAAATATGTTGCAAGAACTTCACTGAGAGTAAGAACAATGTTAGCACCCATCAACAGCTCAACCAAAAGAATTATTCAGATGATCAGGATATGTTTTTTGAAGTATAAATTATTTCCTATAGACATTATTACAAAGCCAAGATCCAATTTTAATGTTTTGCCTGTAGCACAAAGTTAGAATAGTCCTATTTAACTAGAATAACTGAGAATGTTCTGGTCAGACTTAATAAAACATTATAAAGAGAGTATTACTTTTCATCCAATAGAATTTTAATGTTTTTAGTGTATTTCATCATAATAGGCAATAAGGTCTTGTCAAGAACAAAGTTCTTGGAGGAGCTCTGACAATTAAGTCTGAAAGAACCATGTGCACCAATAATCACCTTACGAGACTCTATGTATACCATATATATTCTAACAAGGTTTTTCTTGTCTAAAATGTTTCAGAACACCCAGTAAAAAATTGCTTCCAGCTTACAATACATACAAGAACACCAGTTTATTGCTTTAGTCACATGCTATTTTATTTCAAGTCTAAACTTTTAAGAGAATGGGTTTGTTTTTACTGAGTACAACTGCACAAAATGTGACCCATGCTCTTATCACTAAAAAAGGATTAAGGAGAGTTTGAATACATTAATTCTATAAAATTTATTTAAAATCCACTTAAGAACAATGAAAAACTAGAAGTGATCTGAAAGTAAATTTGACAAGTATTTGCTGATCTTATGTACGATCTTTCACAAGGCGTTACATATTTATCCCCTTTACTTTTCAGCCTACAAGTTGCTGTCGAGTTAACTCAGACTCATGGTGACCCTACGTGTGTCAGAGTAGAATTGTGTTCCAGAGGGTTTTCAATGACTGGCTTTTCAGAGGTAGAACACCAAGCTTTTCTTCCAAAGCAGCTCTGGGTGGACTCAATCTCCAACTTTCAGGTTAGCAGCCAAGAACATTACCAACCAGGGAGTCCTCCTGGTCTACACAAACTTATTTTAAGGGGTTTCCTTCATTTACTTTCAGGAATAAAGAGAGAACAGAATGGGGCCAAAAGAGTATTCTTTTTACAACTTTCTCTTTCATTACCTCAATCCTGTCAATCTTTATTTGGGTTATTGTTTTCACCAAGACTTCTAAGTGCTCTAATTTCTCTGCTCTAGCTTCACCTTCACTAAATTGAATAGATGGTGACTGCGAAAAACACAGATTATTTTATCACCAAGCAATTACTTAGTCAATTCCAATACTGGAAACAAATTTTTAGTATAATATTTGAAATTATGTAACTGTTAAAGCCTTATTTATTCTAAACATGGCTCTATACGCAACATTCAGCAACTAAACTCTCTTGAGCTCAACTAGTTTGCAACCGAATCCAGAGAATACTTCATATGTGAGATTAACAGAAAATAACAGAGCCAAGAACAACAGAAAAATATTGATACTTTAAAATTATGTCTAAACATCAATAAAAAGTTAACAATATCTTGAAAGTTCTACATTTGAAAAATTTTATGTTTGTTTTATTTGCTTCAAATATTGTATTTGAGGGGTTCCAATACTCACTTCTGGTAGCATAGTGGCTAAGGCACTTGACTGCTAACCAGAAGGCTGGCGGTTCAAACCCACCAGCCACTCCTCGGAAGGAAGGTTGGGCAATCCTACTTCCGTAGTGGTAGTGATACTGCCTCGGAAACCCAAGGAGGGGTCACTATGAGTCAGATGTGACTCGATGGTACACAACAACAACAACAATACTCAACCTCTCTCTCTAAAAGTCTACATAGAGCAGGGTGTGGAGAATGAGGGTGAGAGAGAGGATAATAGTAATGAAAGAGAACTGAAACAAATCAAACTCTTCAGGAGAAAGGAAATGGAGAACAAGCCCTGGATGAGGAAAGAATGATATCAGGAGAAACTGGTCCAACTGTCAAAGACCAGTTAGACCTTACCATATAGAAATACGATAAGCAGCAGCACACTGTCCAAAAAACTGATCCAGTTTTTACAGATTTTACCTAAAATAAAGAAAATAAAGCAATTAACATAAATATTTATAAATTCTCCTGCTGAATTTAAAAAAATAAAATGTTCAGTAAACTTGAGCTATATGTAAAAAGCAGCCAAGGTTATTAAAAAAAAAAAAAAGAGCAATGAAATGTCATTCACATTTACTTAATAAATGCATATATAACACAGATCACTAAATTGAGTAGACAGTGACTGTGAAAAACAGATTATTTCAAACATAGTTTTCATGAAAAAGAATCCCCTTTATAGCAACATTTTCTATTTTTCCAATTGTTACATTTTTTCTTAAAAAGATTATTATCAACAAAATCAAGACTCATCATTTAGAGATGCCTATGGGGAAACCTTTGTAGAAAGCAAACAAACATCTCATTCAGTCAATCTACATTTGCATATGGTTGGTTACTCAGACAAAGTATCTTAATCGATAATTTTTTTCATTTGAATTTTGATCATACACAACTCATGGATAATTTTAATTATGAGCATTCACTGTTGAAAACTTTTCATCATTACATTTAAATATCTGCAAGTACTATAAGCAATAGCTTCAAGAGATTTATATTCCTAAAATAATTTCTATAAGGTTCGATGATATGTAAGTAAAATTCTAAATTTATTCTGAAATAAGACAACTAATCAATGAAAGCAAAAATACATTGACCAATTTCTACTTCCTTAAAAAAAGAAAAAAAAAAAAAACTAACCCAATAATGTTTATATGCTCATGTGTGAAAAGCAAAATATACTATTAGCACCTTCAGAAAATGGAATTTTAAATATAAAAAACATAAACTCTAAATACTTATGTCAATGGAAGAGGTCATCTTTAAGATGAATCAAATGAGTGTCCTAAAAAAAAAAAAATACTAATAAAAGACCCAGTCCTATTACAAGTAATTCTGTATTAAAAGATCTGTCTCTATGTCCAGATAGGCAAGTTTAAATTTAAGTGTCTCAGACAAACAATATCAAGTAATTCCTTCCTTTTAAAATGAGACTGTACAGGATGAAAGCATTAAAACAAATTATATAGGTGGCATCCAAATGTGTGGTGGAAAGAATTGTGAAAAAGAATACAATAGACGGGAAGGAGGAGGGGGAGAGAGAGAGAGAGAGAGAGAGAGAGAAGGAAAGAAAAAATCGCCAGTTTACAACACTTAAAAGATATGGCAAGCTGACTTCTTTTAGACTAGTGAAAGGCTGCCCTGAATTCAATACCATAGTACGTATGCAACAAAATACACCCTTACCTTCCAAAAACCAACAAACCAATCAACTCTCATTTTGAAAAGAGGGGCTAGGGGCTACTACCACTGACTAACAGGGTGAAATGACATGGTAGGTAGGGGTGAACAGGGAAGAGGATATATTGAAATGTTGTAAAATTTAAAAAGTGAGAAAATTTCCTAGGGTAGATTAGAGATGGGAGATAGAACCAAGTGACACTGCCAAAACTGAATCCAGGAAGATGGAAAGATAACTTTTAAGAATGAGGACAGGCACTAGACAAATGGTAACAAAGGTTCTAAAACACCTATTTCTAAATAGTGAGGCTGGAAGAAATAGTGTGCTCAGATGACAAGATGGGCTAGAAGCAAAAAGGAATCCCAAGGACATGGGCAGGCAAGGCTACAGGTCCAACAGATGATAAAAGGGGAAGTAGATCAATAGGACAAATAAGAAAGAAATAGTTCAAACTAGAGCTAGAGAGAAGAAAGAAAGGTAGGATATATCTAGTAGACTGGAGCTACAGAAGAAAAATATTGTCAGAGAAAACTTGAAACTATTCAGTCTTTCATACCTCTGTGTCAAGTATCAATTTTTTGCCTATCAGTTCGGAAAGTACCCTTCAACATTATATTTAGAATTCTTTTAGGCATTTGCATTTCTCCTTGAAAGTTTTTTCAGTAGAGGGTGCTAGAGGAACAATGTAGAAGTCTCTCCTACCTTCTCAGTTGCAGACTAGGGGTCAGCAGTGTGGGTGTGAGGCATTGGCCCAGAATAGTCCCTATAAGACCTGGAAGCCTTCTTGATATGGTAATAATAATCCAATACACTATACACTCTGAAGGCCTCCTGCCCCAACTGGAACCCAAACTCTCACTGTATGCCCATGCCAATGGCCACCCTTCCCCATGGATATACTTGGTGGGTGGCCTTCTGCTTGGCAAGCAATTCCAGACAAGCTCTGGCCTGGCAGAACCAGTGAACTTCTCTGCTGTCAGGGGGATGAACCATATCTTCTCCATTGAGGTCTGAACCCCTTCCAAGTTTGTCTTTCATTGAGTTCTCTCTCTCTGCCCATTAAGTTTTATATATGGAAACCCCATGGGTTCTACTTTCTCCGATAAGATTGCTATGAGTTGGAATTGACTTAATGGCAGTGGGCTGGTTTTGAGCCTTTCTCTGCCCTGGAATACTATGTATTGTTTCCTTGTATCTTATAATTACTCTTTTACCATAGTATTTTTTACATAAAACATCCATTTAACCTACTGTATCATTTCTATTTCCTGACTGGACCCAAACTGCTAATCTATTCCAAGAAAATCAAGATAAATTTTGTAACTACGAAATACAGTTTATACCCTAAAATCTCCTCAGACTTTAAAACCAACTGTATGGGCTAAGAAATAATGAGTAAAGGATATTTGCTATAAATCAAACATATTCCTTAAGTATTTATTTACTAGTATCAATATACAAAATAGTATATACAAAACACTCTACTATAAAAAATACAAACTCACACACATGCAGTCCTACTCTAACTGGACAGAGAAGACCTACTAGTAAGAACTAAAGTCAAGGCACTATATGACACAGACCATACAGTGATTAAGGTATTTTGCTTGCTAGCAAAGAGAGGTTAGTGGTCTGGACCTACCAGCCCTTCTCTGCGAAAGAAAGATGGGCAGTCTGCTTCCATAAAGATTTACAGCCTTGGAAACCCAATAGGGGTCACTATGAGGCAGAACTGACTTGATGACAGTGAATCGGTTCTTTTAATGCAGTGATTAAGGGGCTCTGGTGAAACAGTGGATAAGGCATTTGGCTGCTAACCAGAAGGTCAGGAGCTCAAACATGGGAGGATAATGAGGCAATCTATTTTTGCAAAGATTTACAGCCTTGGAAACGCGATAAGGGTTGCTGTGAGTTGGAATTGACTCAACAGTAGTAGGTTTATACAGTGATTATAGACACTTGAGTATCAAAAGGTTCTCACAGACATCAAATGCTAAAACAGCTCAAAGGTAGGAAACCACTTCTGGCTGAATTAAAATTTTAAGAAACTTTTAGTAAAGTGGTAGCAGCAGAACCTTGAAAGCAATGAATCAGTAAAGATGCAAGGCATCCAACCATCCACCTACAGTGGATCTATTACAGCAGCAGGCACACAGATAAAGAAACCAGGAGTGTGGAATTTTAAAACTCTGAGCCCCTACAAAGCTCACAATCTAGAGGAGTAGGTAAACAGGAAAGCAAGTGAGTAGAATACTATATTTCACAGAGTCTAATCTATGACCATCACATGTAAAACACATCCTAATTTCAGAGATGATAAATGTAATTAAAAAAAATACATTTTAGAATTAATGTACTATAGTATATGCCAAATGCTAGAACAAAGAGTACTATGAACTATTCACTGCTATCAAGTCCAACTCACAGCAACCCTATAGGACAAAGTAGAACTGTCTCATAGGGTTTCCAAAGCTGTAAATCTTTATGGAAGCAGATGGCCTCATCTTTCGCTTGCAGAGTGGCTAGTAGGTTTGAACCACTGACCACTGGCTTAGCAGCCCAATGCTTTAACCACAGCACCACGAGAGGTCCTTAGTAGTATGAACTAAGTGCTATGAAACAGAAATGAGAGTAACAAACTCTAGAGAAATTCTGACAAGATAGCAGAATAGGAGATAGGTTACATAGACCCTCTGCAGCAAAGCAGTAAGAAACCAATTGAAACAGATACAGAAGACCATCCTAGAACCCTGAGCTTTCAAGGGAAGGATAAAGAAGTAGATTAAATACCAACCAGTAGAAGAACCTGAATGAAACAAGAAGTAAGGAGACAAATGGAGCTGTGGACAGACTGCCAGTTGTCCTGAGGGCGATTTTGAGTATTTCCTGATAGCAACCTAAGAGTTGGCTCTGCAAACTAAGGGCTACATGGGAAAGGACTGCACTGGTGACTGACGAACACACGTGAGAACAGCAAGGAAGGGGACAGGTGGACTTGTGGACTGCCAGTGGCTGCCCTGAGGGCGCAGCCATTTTGGATGTTTGCAAGCAGCCAGTGCAGCCATTGAGTGTGTGGGGGTGGTTTTTTTGCTTGGACTGAAGTAGTACAATCAAATCAATGAAAGACAGAATTAATAAAACTGAAGACAAATACCTCAATACAACCTTGGTAAAGGGTCAACCAGAAAAAGGATGAAAGCATACTTAAGAAAGCCTAAGATTCATGAGGGATACCATCAAGAGGAATTACCTACATGTAACTGGAATTCTGGAGCTCAGGTGGCATAGTGCCTAAGCCATCTGACCACTAACCAGAAGGATGGAGGTTCGAACCCACCAGCCATTCCTCAGAAGGAAGATTGGGTAATCTACTTCTGTAGAGAGATCGCTTCAGAAACCCAAGGAGGGGTTGCTATGAGTCAGAAACAACAACAGCAGTGAGTATGGTTTGGATTGAATTAGAATTCCAGAACAGGAAGAGACAGAGAAAACTGTCAAAGATTTCTTGGAAGAGGATTTCATAATATGAAGAAAGGTAAGAATATATCCATTCAAGAAGTTCAACAAACCCCAAACATGACAGGCCCCAAAAGAAAATCACCAAGACATATCATCATTAAACTCACCAAAACCAAAGACAAAGGAAAAATCCTGAAAGCAGCATGGGAAAAACAAAAACATTACCTACAAAGGGCAACCAAAAGGACTAAGCTCTGATTTCTAAGGAGAAAGAATGCAG